AACATATTTAGAAAACAAACTTTGGAAAGTTTTTCTAGGTTTTCCTGGTAAAATTAAAATTTCAATTTTTTAATTTTTTTTCCCCGAAACTTTCGAGACAATTATTGTCCATGACCAAAACCGTTTACACAAATTTTGCAACGTTATTCGTTGAAAAGCTGCATTTTCTTAATTCTTTACCAAAATTAGGGCTTAGACGCAATCTCAAAAATTTAATATTCGATATCTACTCAACAGTATGTCCGATTTCATTTTATATCTTAATATTGGTATCAAAATCGGGGATCTTTGTGCACATTTTTCAAAACTACTTCCACTTTTAATTTTCGCATACCAGGCTGAAACTATGCCCTTATACCAAATTTTAACTCAATCGGATCAACAGCTAGGCAGTAATCGTACAAGTATGATTACAATACTTTTCCTTTCATTGATAGAGGGGTAGAGAAAGTAACATTTAATGTTGTACGGTACGCTATACTCCCTGTCAAAATGGCTCAGTGGCAGTGCTCGCTTAGTAAGAAATAAGAATAACTTATTTTACTACCAGATTCAGAATGGGTACCTAGTCTATACGAAGAAAATAAAACAGTAAACATTGATGTGCAGAACATCAATCCGATAAATAAACTATTGGAAATAATATTTACTGTGCAGAATATTGCTAAGTATAGTATAGGCACTACTAATTGATATGACAAAAATAACTATTGCTGTTGTCAAAGTAATCCGTGACCTTCAAGTTGGCATTGACATTGTGTATTGATTCAATACACAATGGCTGTACCTAAGTACAAGTACTTGAATATTGTACTTGGACTACATTTTGGGTGTTGCGAAAACAAACCATTCCAAAGTTATAAGAATTCAAAATTTAAAAAATAAAAATTCCCGTGTTATTGAAATGGAAAAACAACAAATGAATTGAGGCAAACCTTAATATTAATATTAAGGGCTCAAATATGCGCCAAAATTTTTGTTTTTTAATGTATTATTAATTTTTCAACACCATTAGAAAAAAAATAATTTAAGTTTTTTTTGAAACACCCTGTTTAAAACAATGTTAAGTGTATTAATTCAGATTTATTAAATAACACACAGGAAATTATTTCAAATTTAATTTAATATTTATATATCTAAGAAACAATTCTACTGGAATAGTTTTATTTTAATAATAAATTATCCACACATTTTTCTTGTTTTAAATTTACACAAAAAATGTTTGGCCAATTTATCTTGTAAAACAGCAAAATTTTTGTCGTCTTCAAATGTGGAACATTTAAAAAAAAATCAAAAATAACTTTGTCAACTTCATATCGGGCTTTAATTTAAAATGTTAACACCGGACAATTGTAAATTAAACACACGAATAAACACAATATCAATCTGTCATGCACATCTTCGTTTCTCAACTTTTTTAGTGTCGCGAGTCACTAAATAGCCAAAAATGTAAAAAATAAAAAAATGTTGCAATCCCCTTAGTACAATATTTTAACTTGACGTTTAAAATTATTTAAATATTACAATGATTTAAATTATTATTGGAAAATATCGGAGAATTTTTGAAATTTTAAATTATCTATAAGAAAACTGTGATAACTGCCTGTACCTATAGGTATAAGTATACTTCCACATATATTTATATTTTATATTTTCGTGTTTATATACATATATATGTATATATATTTGTTGAATAATTTAATTTTTCTACTATTGTACCTGCTTTTTGGGTTTATTAAATTAATTAAAAAAAAAATAATAATAATTTCAAAAATAGATTATCGTAAAATTATTTAAAATTTACATTGATTCACAAAATTTTGGAAATTTTGTGAAATTTTAAATGTCAACAATTACTTACACACGAGTGCAATTTAGATTATCAACCAACTTATTAAAATATTGGCAGACAAACACTCAAACAAATTAAAAATACTCTAATAAAAGGATGTCTCTTATCCAGGTTATATTTTTGCGACTCCCGATATTTCTGAACTCGACCCCGAGGTTGATGATGTAAGTAAACATTTTTCCTAAGAGACATTATTCCATAATAACAGTAATAGGGGACTACGCGAAACTTTTAAGAACTCTTTAACGCTCACTATTAACGATACATTGCGTTGTACCAAATTTGCACTGGCAAGTCTTGGCACGCAACTTTTTAAAATTTTAATTCTGTACAATTTCTTCAACCCAATAAATGTAAAACAAACCTGGGCGATAGTGGGCGTTTTTATATATTTACATTTTTGTATCTATAAATTGTTTAGAATAACGCATTTGAGTAAAGTTTTTTTTGTTTTAAAATAAATACAAATATTTATTTGACTGCATACAAACACATTATATTATTTTACATATCTTTAGAATCACTCCCCTTTAATCCGCATACATTTTAAACAGTGGGATACAAAGAAATAGGCACTTCCGGACGATCGATTTATTTTAAAAATAAGGTTTACACCTGGACACCTGGAGAACCATGGTTTGGGAAAGAACTTTGTTCCAACTAAGTTGATATTTTATAACATAAGGGCGTTTATTTGGGCATAAGTTGTTATTCTAGTCATGTTTGACCAAAAATTGACATATTGTATGGCATTTATTTCAAAACGCGATAGCTCAAAAACTGAAAGAAAATTAAGACCTATATTTGGTTATTTTTGGTCAACTTCGTTTGTAATGAAGATTGGTCTAAAATTAACAAAATGCTTGTAATGCAAATTGGTAGAAACTTGCCAACTAATTATTGTTATGTGCATTAGCGAGTATGTAAATAAAACAATATTTAGGTTAAACAGCCGATGACAGCACTCTCTAGGTTAAATAAAATTCTATTCTACATTTAGGGGACCAACGGCATAAAATTTTATAAACAAATGGCTTTATTATAAATAATTGTTTGTGGCAGAGCCTTAACTTGACTGAAACCTGTATCTAGGCAATGCCTGGCAGGCATAACAATTAACTTAGGTCTCGTTGAAATTCTTGGGAACATTTTTTTGAGTATTGAATTATTAAAATAATCATCTCTCAAGTATTTAAAATCCTACCACAGACAATCGTATAAAGTTTTGTTGAATTATATTTAAAATTAAAAAAAGTTATACAACTTTTTATGGAAACCTACTTTTTCTAATTTAAAGGTTATTTTTTAAACAATTGCCTTATGTACCATCAAACAAAATACCTTTTTTGGCACTAATTCAAATTCAAAAATTATGTATATTCACTAAAATACAAAACATCCAAAACAAGAAAATAAAGGAAAGGATTAATTCGTTTGCAAAATAATTAAGATGAAGGGCACCAAGAAAATTATATCGTCCTATACCTATTTATAGTTCTCAAAAGGGATTAAGTTTAAGAATAAATAAGTGTGTAAAAGCTCATACAATTGTTAAAAAGCTAATGATACCTACTTCAAAAGATTAATATATTTTAAAAATTCTTTAAAGAGGGCTATTCTAAATTTGTTTGGACAGGTAACTTTTTATTTTGGGGAGTATTCCTAAATCATTGACAAACGATGAAAAAAAGTCTGTGATCCAATTATCTTCCGATGGAGGTTAAAGAATGGACTTTCCAAATTTAGAAATATCTGAATTTCGGTTAGAAGTAAAAAAGTAGTACCCAACTTTGCCAAAAAGGCATAGTTATTTTTAATTCCATTTACAACCAATAATTTTTTCAAACTAAAAACAAAATTTGTCACAAATTTGAAAAGAAAAGTCATAAATATATATAAATTATAAAACTATTGCCTGCAATTGTTTCTTGTTTCTTTAATAATTAAGTTTGCTAAAGTCACCACCTTTTGGACGTGTTAAAAATAAAAAACCTTAAAATAAATATAAATAAAATGAATTCAGTTGTTTTAAAATAAACAAATTTTATATATTATGTTAAATTAATTGGATAAGATACCAGTGTCGTTTAAATTGTTTTTTTTTTATGTAAACAGCCTTTAAGGCTGTGTTATATTTGTTTATATTACTTACTTAATTAGCCTAATTTGTTTTGGTTCGCTAAATAAAGTATTTATTTATCTTAATCTAATAAACTGTACCTACACTATTATTACTTATAATCTAATATACATTTACTCATACTTTTCTTACTAACACACCTAAATATGTCCCAAAATTCAATTTATCTATATAACTAATCCTATCCTCTAAAATAGTTTAATAGAATAATAATTACTTTGTTATTAATATGATACTACCTGCAATAAATAAACTGATATTTTTGCAAAAAACTGCAGTTTATTTATCAACATGTTAATAATTCTATGTTTATTCTAGATCGTAAGAACAAGATACAGACACGCTATCGTCTAGAAAAAAGTTGTTCTACTTCTATCTACAATTCTTCTACCGCAAAACAAGCTTGCCAACCCCTCAACATTAAAAACAATTTACAAAATTACACAGGTCACAACACAACACCAAGACAGGAATAAATTTGAGATTGTTGGTTTATATTTTTTAGTGAAATTTTTTGGGGATTATGGGATTTTAGAATTATTTTCTTAGTTTATTAGTAACTGTGATTAAATACTAACGTAGTGGTTTGTAAAAAAAGGGTTATATTATTATTATTATTATTATAGTTGACAGGTCATTATTTTTTACTATTGAACAGTAAGGTTTGCAAGATAAAGATTATTTTAAGAAATTTAAGCTGATTTAACACCATAAAACATCTTTTCTTGAAGTTATTTGAAGTCGACCATTAATAATATATCAGAGAAAATTGATGCGTTTAAATTAAATAGTGAAAGGGTAACATTAAGCCTAATTTATTGTGCAGCAGATGTAAAGGATGTTATTTTCAATACCTAATTGACTTGATGAGATTTACGTCGCATATTTTCGTGCGATTGTTTTTAATTTAATTTAAAAATATATCACTCTTATTCAAAACACTTTAAATTATTTTCACAGATAAAGCCATACAATTGGTAATTTACAAAATACAGTTTTGCGCTAAAATCACACAATCACAGTTACTAGTAAATAATGACGGAAATCGACAAAACAAAACTTCAATAGAATTGAACTTACCCGTTATGGAACATAAAAGTCGTAGTGTTGGAGCCGATCCCGAATACTGGTTGATCATTCCTTGCGAATGAGCTCTTGGAGCAGGCATGCTTAACGTAATTGCCTTGTGGAACTTTCGTCGTCTCGGTTCTACCGTCACGACAGGGGATACTGCTACTCCGTGACCAAGGAGTTTGGCTGTCAACTCTGGATCAATCGGTTGGGCCTATAAGAAAGTTTACTTGGGCTATTTTTTTATTCAAATCCTTTTTAAAGGTATAAGCAATATGGTTTTGCCTAATTGAACTTTTATTGGTTTCAAAAAAATGTACAAACAAATTTACACATCAACTGGACTATTCAAATAAAAGCTTTTGCAAAAAGAGCATTTAAATTATATAAAATTTGCAATAATTTTAAAACATCAATGTTTTTAGAGTGCAGTTTTTTATTTTCCTGAACAGACATACAATTTTTATATTAATATTTGTATTTCTTGTTCAGTAGAATTAGTGAAGGGAGAATCGAATGATTTTTAGAATCGAATACTTTGCATTCGAATACTCTAAAGAATCGAATGATTCGAATGCAGAGAATCGAATAGTTTGTTCCGAATCGGAACCAATATTAGCCGAAAACATTTATTGAATGAATGTTTTCGGAACAAATTAGGTATTCGATTATCTGTATTCGAATGGTCATTTTATTTCTTTTTTACAATTCGTTATGGGCTGAGCGGGTTGGCTTCGCACTGGGTGCAATATAAATTCCAAACCGGCTGATATACCTACTAATTGATTTATGACATGTTTTCTTTATTTTTACATAAAACATAAACTATATTATTTTTAATTTGTTTTATTTCAAAAAACGTTTTGTAGAATAATTATTAGTTACTTTGTTTGTTACTTTTTTTATATATTTTTTAGTTACTTTTTATATATTATTTTTTTAGTTCCTGGTTAAGCATGATTTACTTTTTATTATTTTGTTTGTCTCCCACCTTCCGCTCGATGACACTCAAGCGGTTTCGATTCGATTCGAAAGGTTCGAAGTATTCGAATACTTTGTTGAGAATCGAATGCATTCGAATGCACGCCAGAATCGAATACTTCGAGTAGAATGATTGAAAGTTTACAATTATTGTATATTACTTCTATTATATATTTATTTATATTTTATCCTTTTAAATTCTTCTTCAAATATTGAAAACCATATAGTTTTAAAATATATTGAAAAAATTGTCGTTAAACATTAAAGCCAATGCCTATAAATAGTATAGACGGTTTAAAAGCTTTTGTCTCGCCTTAAAATTAAATATTAAAAAGGCTTCTCTGATATTGCGTTCAAAGTTCTTGTTTACATTTAAACCATATAATCCAATATTATAAAATTATAAGCATGACCTTCCACATAAAAAGCTTCTACTTACCTTGGAATGTTTTTGCAATAAAATAAAAGATAGGGATAAAGGAAAAAGGCATGACAAAAAAGCAAGGTTCGACAGCAAACATAATACACAAACAAGAGCGGCGAAGTGCAAACAATAATGAAATGAGGGATGATGTGTCACAGTTGAGCTGAGAGCCCAATAAAAACCTCGTAAAAATGTTTATACAATGCTAGGAATTCTGTTTGACTCGTTCAACCTGGCGAACCATGCTTTACTGTCTCTTTGCGAACTCAGCAGTTTCAATTTAAGGGTTTAACCTCATAAATAGTCACAATCCTTTTGTGACCATTTATGAAATGTAGCCATTCGCGAAATCCACTGAGACGTTGATTTTGTGTTAAATTAAAGTTAGTATATGTTAGTTAACTAATTTTTATTGGGCAATCATACTAAATACATTCACATTAGTGCAATAAAACTAGTGAGATTATTAACACACAATTATCTCTTAAACATACATTAATGAAAATGACCTAAAATTAGAAAAATCGTGAGCAGAAAAGTCATACTTGGTTTAAAAAATGTTTGATCATGGTGCAATAAATGTCATAAACTCCAAAGCTTAGTTGAAATTGTAGTTATGCAGAGATTTATGTGCATTTTAGTTAAAATATATAAGAATAATTTTGAGACTTAAAACATGACTTTCCTGTGTGTAAAATGATTTAGCAGTGACTTAAATAGAACAAACAATCGTTATATGGGAATTTTTATTCATTATTGTCTACTCAGCGCCATTACTATAGAAAAAGCGATAAGTTATATACTTAAATTAATGTTTGACGTTTTAAAACCACAGTGTCTAGTTTGAACTACAAACCTAACATAACTAGTAAGTGGAAGATTTCTAATAAACACTCAAATTAACTTAAGTCTTTGCAAATCTTTATTTAGATATAACGCTAAAATTATTATTGTAATTAAAAGTAAAAATATAAAATTGAGTAATCTTATCTCATTAAATCAAATGAGAAGGATTTTTTCTTGCCACGCTTTTTTTGTACTATTTTTGATTAAAAATATACAAAAACTATTGGCACTTTTATTTACAATAATTTTTGGATTTTCAATAAAAACATCAAATTAGGCCATTCTAATGTAGTTGATAAAGACCTAATGCAAAACCTCTTATAAAAATGACTAGGCAAATTAATTACAATTTTAAGTTGTACTATTTCAGTTTAAGAAATATAAAATTTCCGCTCTAACTTAAAGAAATAAAAGTTTTATGTACAGTCCCGAGATTAATTTGGCATATATTTTAATTATACATTTTAAATCAGTACAACATTTTTTAGTGCAAATGATCTGGCATATAAAAATACAATTTTCAAAAAAATATAATTTTTCAAATATATACTTTTTTAGATTAACAATTACTTTTTAAAGACGGAAATTTTATTCGCTGCGGATAAACAATATATCAGATCACCAACTGGTCTAAAACGTGTCGTAAACAATCATTTATCCCCAACAGCCAATACTTATTTGCATCAAGTTTAAATAATTGTTATCAAAACTTTTGTACGTTTGTTGCAAAAACTGTAATCACCATATCAACGACCAGCGTTTTTTCTTTGGTATATGATTAACCCTTATCTTTTTCAATTTTTCAGTGGGCACTCCCTTCCTAGGTTTGAACAAATTTACCTGAAGCCCTACTTTGATCTTCTTGGTAAGCGCTCCTTCAGGGAACACAGCTTGGACCTGCGGAACTACCGTGCTAGAAACCATGCCACCTTCCGGTCCGATCGCGTGAACTTCCTGCCGAACTCTGGACACCACAGCGAAATACTGCGGAAAATCCTGGGTGAGTATTCGTGTTATGCGTCCAGAGGACATATCCTCCATTTGACTTAGATCTGTAAAAGCAAGATATATTTTGGTTTATCTTGTTTACATCAGGGATATTTACTAAGTGAACAATTTTTAGACTTCATTTCCAAAGCTATCGTTAACGAATGTGGTTAAATAAACATGTCTTACCTTCGGCTTCAAAACTCTCATGCAAAACTTCGTTGAGCACTTCTTCGGTAGCTTCAACAGTATGTTCTTTCCATGACTCGCCATTATCTGAACGTAAAATTACAATTTCTCGTTCTTTTCCTCTTAGAGCAGCGAAATGTGGTACTTCAATTATCACAGGTCTAAAAATAAAAATATAAAACAAAAAATAATTATTTTGTATAAATAACTAAACGAAAATTTAAAATTGTAAAGAAATGTTGAACCCATTTGACATAAATCATTTCAAGCAAAATGTCGTTGTCCCTTCCTAAACTTATAATTGAGGAGGTGCATTCACAAAACTCGGCTTATCATTATTAGTTGTTTTTGGAGCAAAATGTCAAAAGCCTTACACGTGAGTACTAACGCATATCAGGCCAACACAATACTTTAAACGAAATATATAGGCATAAGTAAAACAATTATATACCTTGATTAAAAAGTTATAGCTTCAATTTAAAATAATTTAAAATTACATACGTATATACCGAGTTTTGCATGATATAACCAATAGATAAGGCAAGTTTTGGAACGATAGTCAATTTGTAAATGAATTTTAAATGGAATAAGGTGAGTTTTAGAATATTATAAACTTTTCAGGGTATAGTGGAATACATGTTAAATGTACAGACACCACTAACTAATTTTTATTCAAAAATGGATAAGCCGAGTTTTGGAATGGACCTCCTCAATTATGTATAAATCACTAACCTAGTAACCAAGTTATGGTGCTACCTTTAAAAAAATTCTTAAAAAGCTTTTTATTGAAAAAAAAAATCACTTTAGGTTTAGTTTGACATACGTACAGAAAATCGAGCAGAAAATAAAGTCCGCCATATTTGTGACATCAGCTTGTGATCAATTTTTAACGTTTTGCCAGCCAATTTAATAATTCTGTGCTTGTATTTTAAGCGTAAAATTAAAATTAGTTAAAATTAGATGTAATATCTACTTAATAGACAATCGTTCGAAGAATTTTACAAAAAAATGTCTAGAATATAAATCAAAATAAAAGGTTCGGTAAAAACAAGGGATAAGTTCGATGTTGAAGATTATAAGTGAAATCTTAAACACAAATTACCAACTATTTAGAAGATTTACACCATCAAAAAAGATTCTGTTTTGTCAAAACCATTGACTATGCAATACGCAGTTTTTAAATAAAATCATTATTTTTTGGGAGGAGAAATCTTTGCTACACACTTAATCAAGAAATGTAAAATTAAACAAGAAAACTCATAAAAATTAAAGAAAAAAATGCGTAAAAATTAAAGGAAACAATTTACTTTGAGTATGTTGTAAAAAACAAAATGTTTAAAAAAAGGTTCGTATGTAGTTTGAGTTAACATCTATTTAAATAATAAATAATTATATCGTAATCCGTATTTTAATGTTGTTTTTGTTGATATAGTTTTCGAAATTTAGGATTTTAAAAACTTTTTTATTTATTGGAATTACCTTAATAAAAACCAATTAACCTTTATTTTATACATGCACAATGCACACATGTACATTATTATACATGTACATGTGGAATCAGATTTTATTGGGAAATTTAAGAGTCTTGGATTTATTTTTAATAAATAACTTTTTAGGATTGTCCCAAACCTTACTTTATTTAAAGCTATATAGTTATAATTTTTTTTTTAGAATACAGTGGTAATGGACCTTATTTAAAACAACTCCATGCTACTTTTTTCGGCGACAACGCTGTTAGTTTATATTTTACATACAAATTATTATTACCCCAAAAATTTGGCTCCCACGGGCCCAAGTTCCAGAACCCGGCTTGCCATTGCCTCTCCCTCCATTAATGGTGGCGGATGGGGTGTCCTTTGAGGTCGCACGTATCGACATGTGATACGTGTCGGGCTTGCTGCACATCTTGGCGGTACTATGACGCGCACACCCGAATGACGGCAACCTCGCATTGCACCACCGCGGGCGTCGACCAGGAATGACACCAAGAAGCTAAGAAAATAAAAAAATATTAGAAATTAACAATAATAATAAACAATAATTTATATCCTCCCGAAATGCTTATTTTCGAAAAGGTATTTATGGTTCAGTAAAATTATATTTCGAATAAAAATTTAACTTGAGAATTATTTCTGCATCTTAGAAAATAATCCGGAATTTTGGTCATTCTGGTATATGATGCTTAGGTACATAATAAATCCCCTTTGTCAGACAAAAATGATGCTTCCACATTAACTTTTTAAAAAGTTTATAAGAAATCCAGGCTTTTTCAAAATACTTTAAGGACATTAAAAATATATATTGGTGATTTTTTTGCAATAATTAAATACTTTTATTATTTAAAGCACATAATTTTACCTATATAATTAATCATTGTATTTTAAAACAATGCTGTATAATTTAATAGTTTCTTTGTGGTTTCTAATTAGATATTAATTATTGTTACCTTATTTATGTATCTCCCTTAAAAAGTATATTCCTAATAGCACAATTTTTATTAGATTTTAAACCGAATACTTTGTATTTGTTTTAAAATGTAAGTATATACCTGTTAATGCCTTGTATAAATTAAGAATGCCTCTGGCGCTTAAATGAATCCTTGTGCCCGATATTTAATTTAATTAAATTGGACATGTGTTACGCTTACACTTGTAAGATTCAATTTATTGAAATCGAATTATAATATTACCATTGATTAAGGTGTGTTCTTCACTCAACGATATTACCTAAAGACAAATTTAGTTTTATCATTAAAGAACGATTTTATCTATTTATTGTTGTTATCTGTTGGTGTACAGGGTTGCGCAAGAAATATAATAAACGATTATCAATAATATTTTGCATGCATTATTTTTAGGTTATGTTTAATTGAAAACAGGTATTATTTTATAAATAAACATTTCCTAAATATACAGGGTAATTCATAACTTGGCTCAATATACATTTTTAAAACATTAATTCGGACTACTAAAGTAGTTTATATAGTCCAGTAAATCATATGTGGTGACTGAAACCACCCTTTGCCGCCATTTTAAAAAATGTGTTGTTTTTTGTTTTACTAACATCTTGCCTTAGCAAAATTTGTGGGAACCGATTATTTTGGATAGGTAATTGTTTAATCTAATTTTCCAAGTACCACATCTTTTATGCTCCAACGCAACTTCCCAGCAAACAATTGACGTCAATATTACGTCATAATCCGGTCATATATCGACGCAATGACGTCAGAGAATGACTGAAAAACGACGTGTTTAACACGTCACTTTTGCTAACGTCATCTTATGACGTATATTATAATCACGTCAGTGAATGACTAAAACACGACGTGTTTATCACTTCACTTTTAAAGCAAAATATCACAGTCCACTAACGTCAAAAAATGAGGTTAACTCACGTCATCTTATGACGTCAATTGTACTTTAATAGGGCCGTACTTGTCACATAACTGGTACCTTTAAGGCGATGACGAAAGATCACCTGACGTCACTCTGTTTGCTGGGTTACTGGCTTTTAAAGTAAACTTTTTAAGTATCTCCCTAGGTATAAATTTCAACTAAAAGAGCATGAAAGATTTGAAAAATTATAAAATTACTAAACCAAAACGCACAATTCCAACAAATTTGGTTGCATTTTTAAAAATCGCGGCGAAGGTGTTATTTTGGGGGGTTAGAAAAATGGGCGTCTCTACCTTTATCAATTGCCGAAATAAAATTTATGGTGTACCAAATTAATAGATTTTCCTAACAGACCAATTAAAAAAGTTTTGTGTGCTAAGGTACGAACCATACCATATTTATTGTATTTTTTCCCGCTGAACACGAATCTAAAGTTATAATTAGGAGTAACTGATAAACTTCTAAGAAAAACTGTTAACTGTTATAATCTATATAAAAATAAAACTGTTGCGTGAGACTGATAGGTAATGCACAGATCAAACCCTTGGGTTTAAAGGGCTAAACATTTTTGAAATTCAATTTCCAAGTGGGTAAATTGGGACACTCAAATACGTTTGTATCCAAAATCATAATCTCTGAAACGGAAGCAACGGACCGACGTGTTTTTTTGCATAGAGATAGTAATATATATATATATATATATATATATATATTTTTTTTTTGTTTATTTTTTTTCGTATTTACTTTTTGATTTTTTTTTAATTTTTAGGTGTTCCAGGACATTTCTCATTTTAAGACAGACCTCGGTTAATACGACGTCACCCAATTGCGGTGTACTGGATGCTCGATACAAAAATGCGTGCGGGGCCCGGAAGCGATGAGTCTTATACTCATACTTATACTCAAAATGTTTGAACTAAGTAAGATGTTTTTTAGCTGAACCCGTCCGAAAAACTTCCCATGAAATTGACTTTGAAAAAACAAGGGTCTTGGCTAGCATCGAACACAGGATCAAACGTACCATCCGTGAAGCCATTGAAATAAAAAAACGTCCAAGAAACTTCAACACAAGAGACGATAAACAGAGACTACCAACTGCATGGAAACCAGCTCTTACAACCACCAAAACGCCACGCAGATTAACGAGATCAATGGAGCCGAACATAACACAAGTTCAATCGCAGTCACGGTTAATGACGCGGAAAGCTAAGATGATATATAAACAACGATCAGCGGCAACGGAGCTCACTTCACGTCTAACTCGCAGCAGATCGGCAACAGCAGCCCAGCAGATAAGACCTGAAGATGGTACATGAGATTGTACCGAAACGTCGTCAGACATACGGTTTTTTTAAGAACCAAAAACCGACAACACGGAGGAGATCCCGAAAAACTACTAATATATATATATATACAAAAAAAAAAAATTGTACTTGTATATTATACACCTACAACTTTTTTTATTTTGTAGGCCTGTGTATTACAAAGAGTGTAATTAATCAAAAATATATCAAAGAATTTATTTTATTTACCGTGGAACGAAAACCCAGTGCCGATCTTATAAAGGGTGTCCAATTAGGTACGATCGATGTTTGATAGGCGGCTATGGCTAAGTCAGTACAGACACAGCTGTCAAATATTTTGAAGTTTTGTTGGCATATTATGACATTTGATAATGGAGCGTTACACGGTTGCTCAACGCATTCAAATTATTCAAATTTACCAACAAAATCAATGTTTAATTCGCCAAACGTTTCAACGGCGTCATTTCAGGCGACGGCGATATCCAGTGGCCAACGAGATCATGCGATCTAACGCCGCTGGACTTTTTTGTGGGGCTACGTAAAGTCCCTTGTGTACGTGAATAAGCCACGAACAATTGAAGCACTGAAGGCCAACATTACTCGTATAATAAATGAAATCCAACCCGAAATGTGCGAAAAAGTGATAGAAAATTTGACCTGCAGAATGCGCGCTGTGGAGCGCAGCCGCGGGGGCATTTGAAAGATGTTATTTTTCATAATTAATGCCATAGGATGTTCTTTTAAATAAATATATTTTTTTCCTAATATCTTAAGTGTAGTTTGTTTTATTTAATTTTAAAGTTAGAGCACTCTTAAGTGGACACCCTTTACATTATACGCTAAAGAAGTATCGGGTTTTCGCAACGCGCGCGCCATCTGGTGGGCTTCGATGGCATTGCTTGAATTTAAGAATTGTCGACAATACATTTAAAGCACATAGTATAAATCATTTTTAAATAACTTTCTTAATCAACGCTTTTAATAATGCTAAATGCTGTTTAAATTTAGACGACTTATTTGTTTCACGATTTTTACTGAATTGAAATGTTTACCCTTTTCACGTTAATAACTCCTAAAATGTGTATTTATTGTATCTAAAAGGTACAATTTATATTTACAGAGACTGTTTGCAAAGGTGCACAACAACTTTTTTTAGGTAATTTGGGTGCGCTGATTCCATAAATAATCATTTTGTTCAATCAGCTCTTGTTTTTGGAATATTGTAAAAAAAGTGACTTATGCAAGAACGTTTTTTATATGTTTTAAACTTTGTTAAACAATGTCTTTGTTTTTTGTTTTTAAAACTCATATAAATTTATTTATTATTATTTAACAAGTCGTACAAACGCCAGGAGAAAAAAGGACCGTAAATATAAATTTTAATGCGAGGTTGTTTTGAGTGGAATTTTGATAATTTTTATTTAATTGCTTTAAAATTTGAACACAATAAACTAGATACTGAAAAACGTTGTAAATTTCATTAAAATCGGAGAAAAATTGTTCTCTTAACATCACTTAAATTTAGAAAACTCTTGAATTTTGACTTAAAAACATGATTTTTAAGGGTAAAAGCTTTATAAATGTGAATAATCTATTTTTTTTAGGACCATTGATCCTTGGTTATGTACAGTATTTTATTATAAATATTTTGATCAAAATTATGGACATTTTAAAAATCAGCGCACCCAAATTACCCAAAATTGCTGTTAACCGGTGTTATACAACATATACAATTGTTGTAATAGTGAGCGGTTGTGTTTTTGGATGCTCCGAGTTATGTGCTAATAAAATGGGTATAAAAGTGAACCAAAGTTGGAAACTTTGCCAAGTTTTGATTAAAGTAATTTCTTAATAACTTTCATAATACTCGTGTTATTAGTGAATGTGACAAATAGATTTTCTAATAAATGAACATAATTATTTGATAAACTATATGGAACTGTTTATAAAAAGTTTACATCGATAAAAACCGTGAATGAATAAAAAACAACAAGTAAATTTGTCAAAAATAAAATTATCCCCTTGGGGATCGAACCGGGGACGCTTCGTTGACTGCGGAGCGGGCTTGTGGCCAAAATTCCAAATTCCAAATTCCAAATTAGTTTATTTAACAATATTACATAATAAATTTTAATCAGCCTAACTATAAAGGTATAAAGGTACAATATGTATATAAAAAAAAAAAGGGAATTTATAGAGTTTAAAAATTTAGAGAGTTAATAAATTTTGAGGTAATCCTGACAAGAGTACGTGGTCTAAAGGGGGCAAATATAAAAGTGAAAAAGAGTGAGTGAAAAATGTTAAAATTTTGAGGTGACAAGAAGGTTAAAACGTAAGTAATTAACCTCCTTGTGCGAACTTTATACCGCATAGAGGCCCAGATTATCGTAATTGGTCAGTGCTGTTCCACTTTTACTCGCATGGCGATTTTGGGGAAGATACTCAGTAAAAAAAAATTTTAGAAAAAGTAATGGAAGATAAGGTGAAGTAATGAATAAATAAAATAGTGAGTGATTTGAAGGAAAAACAAATTAGAAAAAACCTTCTTAAAAGTAATGATATATTTTTTTAAAAAAGAAGAAAGAAGGGATAGTACAAGAGGAAAAAGAAAAATTTTAAGTGCCGAATATGTCTAGGAAAAATTTTGAAAAAACCTAAATATGAATAAATGAGGAAAATTAAAATTAATAAAAAACCTCGCTGTGAATGGTAGTTTTTGATTTAGAAGCAAGTGCGACTATTGGAGAAAAATGGGAAGTTTCCTGTAAATAAGGCCGTGTCTAATGTTGTGATTGTCAAAGCGTCTGATTTGTGTAATTTGTGAAGTTAAGTTGGAATTTTGAATGGAATTTTCGAAAAATTTATTCGAAATGGCGAAAACAAAATCTTTAATGAATTGGATGCCCGTCATATCGTGCATGCGGGCGATCCTTGTGTATCTGTCCGAGTTGGTGACATGTCTGAGGGCCTGGTTCTGCAAACGTTGCAGAGTAACGTAATTGGTCTCAGACATGGAGCACCAAACCGGACAACCGTAGGTTAAAATTGGCCGAATTAGTGTTTTGTATAAAATAATTTTGTTTTCAAGGCTCAGTGCACTCCTCTTATTAATAAGAGGCCTATCCGGTTGAGCTATATTGGTGCTTGTATATAATTGATTTATAATAATGTCTGATACAACAAATAAACCGTGTAAAAGGTGTAAAAGTATACCTAATATTTTTTACAAATGCATTATATGTGAATGTGTTATGCACCCAAGCTGTGCAAAAATTAAAAATGTAAAGATAATAAATGGAAAAGAAATTAACTGTTGTGGAATTAATGAAGAAGTTGCTCAAGGTGTTGAGCAGAATGGTTCATGTACTGCATCTTCAATTCCAGATGATCCATTGCTAATTGAAATTCACTATCTCAAAGAAATTATTCTACAAAAAGACCTAATAATTAATAATCAAACGATTGCAATTGAATCTTTAAGAGATAAAATAAAATTAATGAATTCAATAAAAAACAACAATACAAATTTAGAGCTTCACAGCAACTCTGATAAAAATAAAAATGCTAATAAAATCCTAGAAGTAAATACATCTACAAACAACAAAAAAAAATAAAAAAATCGAAAAGTTAACGCCAGAAATATTTAATTCTCAAACTGTTTCTTTAGCAATCCATGAAGCTACAACAAAGACTGTTTGTGATCAGGTAATTAATATTAATAAACCTGAGGCTTCCAAAACCGTCTCTGAATCCGGATACGCTAAAGCAGTAAAAAAAATAAATGAAAAAAGAAGTAATATCAAGGTGGTGGGAACTTTAAAGAATTCTACCGCATGTTCCTTAAAGGTTGTTCCTAAAAAGGCTTTTGTATATGTGTCTAGGCTTGCTCCTAAGACTAAAAGTGATGAATTAATCAATTATTTAAAAGATAGTATTCCTGAAATCTTATGTGAACCTATAACATCTAAGTTTCCAGATTATTATTCCTCGTTTAAGCTAACAGTTGATCTTTTTAACTTTGAAAAGGTCATGAATCCTGACATGTGGCCTGAAGGAGCTTTCGTGGCAAGGTTTTTTCACCCAAGAGTCAAAACAAATCCACCAACATAAATAACCAAAGACGAACATTCCAACAAAATAAAGGCAATAAAGGCAACACAAACAAGAAAAAATTAAACAATTTAGTAATTTACTATCAAAATGTAAGAGGTTTACGAACCAAATTAACTGAGCTATTTAAAAATGTCCTAACAACAAATTATGACATTTTATGTTTTACTGAAACGTGGCTTAATGAAGATATTTTGACTTCAGAACTAAATCTTCTAAACTATAATGTTTTTAGATTAGACCGAAACCGTTTAACAAGTAACTGTAAGAGAGGTGGAGGAGTTCTTATTGCTGTCAGGCAGGTGTTTACTTCAGTGGCTATGAAAACTGAGGTCATTGATGTGGAACAACTGTTTGTAGAAGTTAGGATAGAAAAATTAAAATTTATAATCGGTTCAATTTATATCCCACCGAACTCTTCTATTGAAATATATAAAAACCACTGCTCTTCTGTTGAAAGTTTAATGGAAATATATGTTGGTGATGTAGGTGCTTATATATGTGGTGACTATAACCTACCAGGTGTACAGTGGGTAAATGAAGATCTTGGTGTACAAGCTTTAGGTAGAGTAACCGAAAATGTACAAATTGTTGCTGATTGCTTTGCTTATTGTAATTTTTATTAAATTAATTTAATTAAAAATATGTTTAATAATATGTTAGATTTAATATTTTCAAATAATGTAAATGCTACAAGTGAGATTGCCAATGAAACTCTAGTCAAATGTGATAACTACCATCCTGCTATTTGTATAAATGTTAAACTTTCTACTGAAGAGTTAATGAATTATGAATATGTCTATTCTGATTTTAAAAGCACTGATTTCGATTCTTTAAATGCTCATTTGAGTATTATTAATTGGGATTTGGTGTTTTTAAACAATGATGTTAATATATGTTTGTCATCGTTTTATGAA